GTAAAGGGCGTGACCTCAGTTCTCTGAAATTTGATTTTTAAGTTGGATGTTTAACTGCGGCAAATGATTGTCCGGGCAGCCTATTCGAACGTGGTGATAAGTCCAGAAAGGGGTCACACTGACAACAGTCCGAGGCCTAATAACTCCTGAAAGTCATGGCGTATACATCGACTAAACTCTAATCTCCTAGGGGAGATAGAGGGCTTCAGTTTAACTATGTGTTCCTACTCTTACTCCAACAGCCAATATGGAGTGAGCTCAGGTTCCAACGCGTTATGGCAATCCTTTCTTCCCTGGGTCAAGCTTTGCTGTGCACAAAAAAATCGCCCTCCGCCTCCTTTCCTCAACCCTTTGTTTTGAGACTGGTCGGGCAGGAGCCCTGGAGGGTTGAGAGTTTAGGGTTGAAACCAACCCAACATTAGAGCCCAAAGCAGGTGTCTGTCTTGCAGACTTCCGGCCGCAGGGCCTAGAACGATATGTATTGAGGGCCGAGGTTTTCAGAATAAAGTTGCACGCAACCTCGGATTTTGCTTCCAAAGGTGGAACCCAGCCATGCCATTTCGGATGTTCCACCGCGTGAATATCGAGCTGAATGGTTTGATGCCGGAAGGACCGGAAGGCCGAAGCAGTTCTCTGCCTGCCCTACAGTACATGATCTATAGCCTAAACTCCTAGTAGCCCCGCCCCCTTGATTCATAAGGCCTATTATAGTCCACTATATAATCTCCTATGTAGCCCTCTCTAAGGACCTTAGACTATAGTTCAGATTGGTTAATTAGCAGACATTCTTTGGAATCTAAAAAGTTGGTTGCCCCATCCACACACACCCAAAACTGGAGGCACAATGGCACTGCATGGGAATGAGGGACTTGCCTTTAGTAGCACTATAGGGGCCACTCTATACTATGGGGATTCACAGGGATCCAGTCCCCCTTCCCACTAAGCAAGGGCAAACTATCACTACACCGTATTCAGAGGTCCAGAGGTCAACGAACCCAACCAATCAAGCCCAACAAGGTTCATTATGGTAGGTGTTAGGTATTCTTGGAAGCCAACATAGGAACTAATTGTCCTAGTAAGCAAGTTTCCCTGACTTTTGGCAAGCCCAAATGTAGGTGTCTACATCCGTGTAAGTCCCTATGTATTCCAACTCCCCATATGATTTTCCATGTGCGTCTCCGTTGTTGGATAATGCTGATGGTTACAGCAAGTTTAGCTCAACATCCTGGATCTGTCTAAAACCCTAACGCCCTAAACCCTGAAACCACAAACCCTAAAAACAGAAACCCCTGAACCCTAAACCCTCAAACCCTAAATCCGAAGGCCCAGTTGCCTGAGTCAGTTTAGAACCCGCCCTTGACGGCAGGCTGGACCGACGGAAAGCCGTTCATTTGGACCCTGTGGCTTCTTTAGGAGGAACATTTGCGGTTTAGGGTTCCAAAATTTGGATGCTTTTGGTTGGGAGTCAATAGAAGAACGATTTCAGTAGTGCCGGGGCCCGAGGTAGAGTGCGCTCTTGAAGTAACACTCACCGCTCAACGCCAAGCCCACAATTGCCAATTGCCTCTAGCTTGCAAGCCCCTGAGCTCCAAACCTTCAACCGTGCGCTAGGTATCAATTCCCATATCCTGCCCTCTACCACGGACACGCTGCGGCAACTCCTGCCAAGCTGCGCAAACGTGGCCTCGTTGCTTGCCTGGAAAAATTGACTGTGTACGGACTAGGGCCTATAGGGATAAGGGCTAGCATTTAGTTCCCGATGGTTGCCAGGAGGGCATGCGAAATGGAAAGAACATGGGAACCAGTACATTGTTCGAGAAGTCATAGGAGCCGCGACGAGGAGCCACTCCTCCCTTCCCTACTAACAACCAGGAAGGACATGCCGTTTGGTTGGGTCTTTCTTTGATTCTGGGCACCTGATGCTTGTTTTATGTTGGGGCTCGGAGGTAGGGGCCCAGTGCCGTAAACATTGCAGGCGTGCCATTTTTTTCGGGAGCTAGTTGTAATAATGTGACGTTGACACCGCACCAGCCTGACCATACTGCTGCTGACGAGGAAGTTGGGGAGGGTGTATATGAGCTATTGTATAGAAATGTCTCCGCTCTCCCTCATGCACCACTAAGTAAGCCATGAACGATTGGGAGCATGGAGCACTCACTGGGGCGCTGGTATAATCAGCTCCCCACAAGGAGTTTGCAAGCATTCTCAGCAAAGGCACACTACTTGTGGAGCTTCACTGGCACAGGACAAACCCTAAACCCTAAACCCTACCAGCATGTTTTGGCGGGTGGGGCGGGGCATCTATTCTGCATAAGACCGCTTTTCGCAGGCCGAGGAGGTTGCCTCGGTTTGTTTGTGTGTGTGTTTCCCGAAATTCGGGGTACCTTCAAAAGGACTATATAGGGATTATATACCAAATTAGGGTATTAAAGGGATTATAGGGATTATATGGGTTTAGAGAGTAGTGTGTTCAAACCCTGACTTTATTTTGGGTTCTTCATGCTTCCTTGCGGCCCCCGGATGACTTGAAACTCTCACCTGGTCATGTCAGCAAAGACATTCCAAGGTCTTTTTTAGCAGAAAAGTGTTCAACAAAATTACATAAACCCTAAACCGTGGCAGCTTACCCACACTTTGGGAAAGGATTTGGGTGCGCCGTGTCAGGTCACTTTCTTTGTACCGTAGGCGATCTTACGGAGCGTTTCCTTGTGTTCCGAAGGCTGGCACTAAGCTTTGGTGCATCTGAATCAAGAGAATTCTGAGAAGAAACACTGCAAGGGTTGGCGGATTAGAAAAAAAAAACCGTTAGTTCCACTGTACATTGTCTGTTCATTCACAGCATACTTGGATTCGGTACATGTTTGACCTACCTAAGCTGAGTGCTGCAAGGGTGCTCCACCACCCAAGGCCCAATACGTGCCAATTTCAGAAGTATCACGAAACAAGGAAGACCGTTTCCTAAAAGCTCAACCCAACGCCATAAAACCAGTCGGAAGGCTTCTACGCTTTCCGGCTTGGGGCTTGAGTATTTTGCTGGAAGGACGTGGTATCGCTGGAGCACTTCGCGGGGAATTGATGCGTCAGTGCGACGCATGTTCAAGGTCCCGTTTTTGGATGTGGATGTCTCCAAAAACGGGGCACCGTCTTGGGAGCCCCCATACTAGGAATGAATGTTTCAAGCTGCTTTGGGATAGATTTGGGCCTTGTGAACCCTCAGATAGGTTCGTGCCGAGGGTGCAGCCCTGGATGTCCGAGGACGACGAGCAAGCAAGCAGGGTCGTGCAAAATAACTGTTTCATGTGGCGGTGAAGCCCATGCTTGCACAACCAGTAGCCGCCGAGAGTGGCACAGTTGCCCCTGACCATTGAAGCCAACGCGCCCTTGGCACGGGGTGTATGACAGCAAGGCGATGAGCGAACGCGCTTGCTGGTGGTGGCCCCTGCAAGTCATTTTGGTGAGCGGGGATCGCATGCTTCATCCAGGGCGGGCCTGTGCGAGATCTTGGTTGACTGCGGCATTTGTATGAGATTTGGGCTGCTCGATCTTCAAGACTGTGAGTTGCGTTTGTTTGTGTTCGTGTTGCTGGGGAAACTCCTGGTCCAGCCGGCGGATCGTTTGACAGTTGCTGATCTTGCAACTGTTCAAGGTTTCAGAGGGGTCTTCCGGCGCTAAGGCGCAGGTTTCATTTGTAAAGGTTCTCTTCGCTATAAGATGATGACTATAAGCTAACACAGTAAAGAGTTGCTGAGTGGCTGCTGCGCCCGAGCAAGACGCGGACCTGCACCGTGCTTTACAGGGCCTGCGAACTTCTCATTGTGCTGGCACGTATCCCTTGCTTAGACCTCAACACCTCGCAAGGGTTCTGTAACACAGTGCTGTCTTGGTGAGCTTGATATTTGCTAGCGGAATTTGGGTTCGCATCACAATTTTGAATTTGTCTGCTGGTCATTGGTGGGTGGGGTTTCTTGTTTCAAGTCTGAAATTCTGCGGCACGACAGAGCAAGGGGTTTCTGAAAGGGAACTCGGGCCCTTTGCACGACTGCCGAGCACGTGTTGAAGGTGTTAGGTTTCGTCTGGCAGGTCAGGGAGGCGCTGCAGTAGTGAAGATCCGCGCCATTCTCTCCCGGCGCAGAGCCAGAACATCTTTGTTTGTAAACGTCACTTAGAGGTCTCAAAACCTATGCACTGACAAGGCTAGGAAGC